GACCAGCAGCTCCTGTGATCTGAGGGGTTACATGTTTGGTGTCTCTGAAGAGAGCAGATCGTTTAGAGTCAGTTAGAAAAGGAAATAAAGTTTGATTCAACGTGAGAGCAACGTGCTAAATTTGTGCTTTCTATAGATCAACCGTTACATATAAGAAAGATGTTGTGTTTCACAGGAAGTGAAAGTGATGTGATTCCAAAATAAAACAATATAAGAGAAGACAATGAGCTTCTGTGTATTGCTGTTGAATGTCTCCCCAGCTCTCTGGTGACGTTTTGAAACCCAACTACCATCGAGTGTCGAGTTTAAACCATCAAACAGTGACCAGAGAGGATTTTAGGGGTTTGTGTGAATGCTTTAAGTTGAAAAACTCTGCAGACAAAATACATTTCAACATTTCATTGTGACTTTAAAACTACGAACACATCTCCTCACTTAAGTGTTGGTTTAAGTTAGGTGAACAGAATTTATTTAGTGGCGCTCACAGCGTTGATAAATTTAACTTTTTATTACCTGACATTTAGAAGTAGGTATTGTGGAGTTAATTCTAGAGATTTTCCGATACCATTTATTTATTCCCGATGCGTATTGGCCGATAGCAGTTAAATTAATAATAATTATTATATTCAGCTGCTTAGATCTAGTGTTTGGAAGTTAAAAGGTCATCATTTCTCTTTAATATCTATTTTATATCGCTGTGAAAACCTTCAAACAACTCCTTCACCAAAAACACTACATTTTAAAAGATTACATTTGAACACATCACGATAGCTCAATACTCCTTTTTACTGAGCTTGAACGCATCATAATGTTGACTCGATGCAACCTTCGTTAGCGTTAGCACCGTTATGTTGCCAAGCAGGCGCTAACGGCTAACGCTAACGCTAACTAGCTCTCCTCCAGCAGATTTCAACACTAGATTAGTTGTTCACAGTGTAACGTTATCGGGAAAAAGAAAGTAAAGGTGCAGGAGGCGTCTAACACTGGTACTAGTTTGCACATGCTCAGTAACGATCGGGCAGGACGTACAAGTGACACGTGTTGTTGTTGTTGCTGTGTAGCGTAAATGAGCTGATAAAAAATATGATAACGTTATTTGGGAGTCGGTGCATGGACTCGCGTACTCGTCGATACCCGATCCAGCATTTTAGAGCCGTATCGGAGGCCTTTCTGATACCGGTATCGGAACTAGTCTCGTTGATTCCCGTCCCTGCTAGAAAAGCCGGTGTACCCAAACTGGGCAGTGTCCTGCTTTGTTTTAGCTTCCTCAGACGTTCTTTCTACCAGAGATATAGGACGAGTCAGAGAGTCAGCGTCACATCTGACCTTAACATGTGTGCTTTTCCATTTTTGGTGTTTGTGTTGCATCGAGAGAAACCAAACGTCTGGCCCCCTCACGACGTCTCCGTGACTGGACTCTCCCCTCTGCTCTCTAGCGTTTGGTCGGCGTCTCTCTCATCGCCTCCCTCGGTCTGGATCGCGGCGTGGAGGTCAACGGGGCAGGGGGGACTCGAACCCGCGTCCTCGCTCTGGACGTCGGTGTGAGTCTGGTCGTCGGCAGACTCCGTCTCTCCGCTCGGAGGGCTGGGACTCTGGCTGTTGGTGTCGCGTGAAGCAGAGTTGGCGCTCGAGGTGCGAGCGGGACGCGGTTCAAACGGGTCATCGGCATGCGACGGTGGCGAGGCGGAGTGTGTTTCTCTGGACGTCTGAGCGTCTGCTGACTCGGTGTGTGTGTCACCTGTGTGATCACTCTCCTGTGGAGTGTATTCAGTCGTGTTCGGCCCAAGTGGTTGTTCTCCAGAGTCCAGGGTGTGACAGCGACCCAGGGGCCGCTCTCTGAGCCGGGGCCCGGCGTCAAGGCTCGCCGAGGGGCAGCTGACCTCCACCGTCTCCCCTCGCCTCAACCGCCTCATGTCTGGATTCCCCTGGGAGGAAAAATGAAGATCAGGGCTGAAAACTTTGAAATTAATATAAGGAAATATTTTAAAATGCAGCTTTAACACATGAAGCATCGGCTTCACTCTACAGAATCGGAGGCTAAGTCCACTTTGTTATACAGTCTACGATAAAACCTGTTAGTCCCTCGTATGAGTCGAGAATCAGGAACACTTGATCCTACATTTCCCACAATGCAACTAATGGCATATGCATGATAAATCCATCTTCCCAATTCCACATTTTACATTTTTATAGCGCCTTTATTGCAATTTGACACTCATTCATCCACAGAGACTATTTTAACCTGTTGGTGGCGCTACAGGAAAAGTCATTAGGGTTCATCCTCCGAGGATACTGAATGTCTGAATTTTCACCGTGGAGCAACACTAAAAACCAGACGGTGAGGATGTGCACACGTGTACCTGGTTCAGGTTTGTTGAACACCTGGAGGGGGGACCAGAGGAACCCTTCTTCATCTGCTGAACCCTGAATCAAAGCACATTCAAACACAAGTTATTACTTCACAGTAGTTGGAGGTCTCTTGTGAGAGCTGGAGGTCGGTGAGAGGAGGATACCTGCTGATGGACTGGGCCAGCTTCTGTCTCCTGCCGTTGTTGTGATCCTGTAGCCTCAGACGCTGCACGAACGAATGAGCTGCAGCAACAACAAGTAGGGAATTAAAATCATATAATAACGACTGAAAGAGTGACACTTTAAGTACTTTTGACAAAAGATCTGAAAACTCAGTACAGATAAATAATTTTGTTCCAAAGCGGCATCTTCTCTTGTAGACAGAGTTCTGATATTAAATTACCCAGAGCTCCTTTGGGCACAGACAGGAGTTTGATTGGTTCGGCATCGGGAGAAAGCCCCGACGCTTTCTGCAGAGCTCTCAGGATCTCCGTGTTCTGCAGAAGAAAACGGTAAAAAAAGTTACGGCTCATATTGTTGTTCTGATTATCATCACTACCAATGCTTCTTTAATGCTGATGAGCGTGCGTGAAAGGATGGTGACTAACTGATGAGACATTTAAACATTCGTGCACATGAATATGTGACAAGCTTGACACTTTCTCTCCACCTTGCCACCCAGCTCGTAGGCGCAGTCCAGCGGCGTCCTCTGCCTCTTGTTCCTGAGGCCGGCCGAGGCTCCGCCCCTGAGCAGCAGCTCCACCAGCGCCTGGTGTCCCCCCCGCACTGCCTCATGGAGCGCCGTGTTGCCCTGAAGGTTCACCACGTTCACCAGCGCGTCGCTCTGCTCGGAGACACGGCACCGTTTTATTCTCAGCACGTCTTTAAGAAACCGATGCTGTGAAGAAGCTTTTCATCACTGGACTGAAGTACAGTACAAGTACCTTTAATATGTACTAGAGTATTTGCATTTTCTGCTGCATTCTACTTCTCCTCCATCAGAGGTACATACTGTACTACAGCCCAGAGATACGTGGTTCTCACAGGACATCAGATATAAGAGTAAAACATCTGATCCATCAATACGTGAAGGTGTTCACCTGTAACAAGGTGGAGGCTGACTCCAGGTTCCCACAGAGACAGGCCTGTATCAGAGGCGTGTTGCCATATTGATCCTTCTTGTTCAGTTTGGCGTTGCACTCAAGCAGAAATCTCACCACCTAAAAAACACACACACACACACACAAATCTGTGTGAGGCGGGTAAACACACAAACCACTCGACTCTCATGAACGATATTTGTAGCATCTATAGTGACAGAGCTGCTAAGATTAGTACGAACGACTAATTGATTAATCTAGAAACTAATCTATGCTGATAAATAAGCGTCCCCTGCCCCCCTACCTGGACGTGGCTGTTCTGGCTGGCCAGGTGAAGCGGCGTGGCGCTCTGGTTGGTGCGGGCGTTGACGTTGGCTCCGTGGCGGATCAGCAGGCCGGCCAGCGCAGAGCGGCCGTGCAGAGCGGCGACGTGCAGCGGCGTGAAACCGCCGGCGTTGCAGCTGTTGACCCCGAGGGCTCCGGCCTGCAGGACGGACATCTGAGGGACATAAAGAGGACAATGAGGGTAAAAACACCTCCTCCTGTCCACGCGTCCCGTGCACAGTCGGCCTCCGATACCTTACCTTCTGAGTGGGGGCGCAGGTCGGACACTGACACAGCGGGTGGCACAGCGGAGCCTCGGACCGAAGCTCTCCCTCCTCCTCCTCCTCCTCCTCCTCATCCGTCCACTCCAACAGGTAACGCACCTGAAACACACACACGGATGAAAACAGCTCTCATTGTTGAGTCCACTTCCACAGAAGACAGAGAAACTTTGTCCTCACCATCTCCACGTCGCTGTCTGCAACGGCACGCAGCAGCTTCTCCACCTGTCAATCACACACAGCGTCAGTCACCATGGAAAAGACATCTCAAGGAGCCTCAGTACTACCGTTTATATCCAGCTTCTACTACAGTGAATACTACGGATATCACCACCACCAGACTACCGTCGCTCTGATGGTTTCTCTGTTACCTCTCGGTGTCGGACCCGTTGCTCCTCCGGTTTGACCTTGGAACCCAGAGAGGAGGTGCTGGAGACGGAGGAGCGACGGCTGCTGCAGTCTGAGGCCTGAGGAGATCGACGGGGAGACTGAGGAGATGGACACAGAGGAAATATAAATAGGTTCTTTCCACTGAGGCTCTAAACCAACAACAGGTGCAAAAAGTACAGTAATGCCGAGGAACAGAGATCTGAATCAAGTGTGTTTTTATAGGAAGCAATGCTGGTCCATTTAGAGTCACACAGACCATAAAGCAGGGGATGCTTTAGGGCGGGGCTACACAGTGATTGACAGGTCTCTACCAGATACGTATACGGCGTCTCTACGTCACTCTTCCTCAGTCCAGATATGGTCACTTCCTGTTGACTGGTTGCAAAAATCCAAGATGGCGACGGCCAAATCGCTAAACTCGAGGCTTCATAAAATCAGTCAACAAACTCGACAGAGACATCAGAGGAGATCAGACTCACATCGACTCTGCCGCGCTGACGGCCATTCTGACTCGACTGCAACAACACGAGGATCTGCAACAAGACAGAACACACAC